GGACGGCGCCATCTGACCAATCACCGCAGTGAGGGCTCACAGAAAGGAGGGGTTTAGAGAGAATGATTCTTTGAACTGCTTCGCACGAGTCGTTTACGAATCATTTAGAAATTAGGTCAAATTAAATCTATTTTTTGAGAAAACTAACGTGTTTTTTGACCTTGCATGCATATAAATCTGTTTTAGGAGACTCATAAAACAATATTAGCAACCTTAAAAATGGCATAATAGGGGCACTTTAACAATACATTGGGCCCTATTTTTACTGACTTTTCTTAGAGTGTACTTTCTTCTGAGGGACACAAAATAAGATTTTTTTTTCAACACACACTCCAAAAAATAAATAAATAAAATTTTTCTCAAAATATCATGTTCCACAGAAGAAATGTGAACTATCCCTTTAAAAGCCATCATAGCTAACCAACTCTCTATGTTTTGGACCAGGACATGTGTCTGTCAGAGCAAGGAAAACTTATAACAGCCATAACATGAAGAAATGTTTACACAAATGTTATTAAAAAAAATCTCTTTCTTTTCTCTAGCCACAAGAGAGTCTGCATTTGTTCATGCAATTGCCTCAGCTGGAGTGGCGTTTGCAGTGACCCGTTCATGTGCGGAGGGGACCTCCACAATGTGCGGCTGTGACTCCCATCATAAAGGCCCGCCGGGAGAGGGATGGAAGTGGGGTGGCTGCAGTGAAGATGCAGAGTTTGGGGTTTTGGTGTCTCGAGAGTTTGCAGACGCTCGTGAGAACCGACCAGATGCTCGGAGTGCCATGAACAGACACAACAATGAGGCAGGACGGATGGTAAGAGACTCATGATCTTAATTTCAAAAATAATGTTGATGGAAAGTATTCTATCCCATTTTATATGAACAATTCTACGTACATTACGTTCAAAAGTATGGGGTAAGATTTTTTTTTTTTTAAATTGATTAATACTTTTATTTAGCAAGGATGCATTAACTTAACATTTATAATGTTACAAAAGATTTCTTTTTCAGATAAATGCTGTTCAAAAAATACTGAAAAAAGGTTTCTTACTTGAAAATTAGTTTTCAACATTGATAATAATAAGAAATGTTTCTTGAACAGCAAATCTACATATTAGAATGATTTCTGAAGGATCATGTGACACTGAAGGGCTGCAGTGAAGATGCAGAGTTTGGGGTTTTGGTGTCTCGAGAGTTTGCAGACGCTCGTGAGAACCGACCAGATGCTCGGAGTGCCATGAACAGACACAACAATGAGGCAGGACGGATGGTAAGAGACTCATGATCTTAATTTCAAAAATAATGTTGATGGAAAGTATTCTATCCCATTTTATATGAACAATTCTACGTACATTACGTTCAAAAGTATGGGGTAAGATTTTTTTTTTTTTAAATTGATTAATACTTTTATTTAGCAAGGATGCATTAACTTAACATTTATAATGTTACAAAAGATTTCTTTTTCAGATAAATGCTGTTCAAAAAATACTGAAAAAAGGTTTCTTACTTGAAAATTAGTTTTCAACATTGATAATAATAAGAAATGTTTCTTGAACAGCAAATCTACATATTAGAATGATTTCTGAAGGATCATGTGACACTGAAGATGAGTAATGATGCTGAAAATTCAGCTTTGGGCTATCACAGGAATAAATTACATTTTAAAATATATTAAAAATAGATAACCAATTTGAAAATATAATCAATATTACTGTTTTAATGTTCTTGAACAAATTATATTGTGTTTTTGAACAAAATGCAGCCTTTGTGAACTTCTTTCAAAATAATAATAAAAAAAAAAAAAATATATATATATATATATATACTTTGCAGTATTCGCTGTAAAATATGTTTACAATTTATTTACCTCTTGATTTGGTATAAAAAGAGGCCTTTCAAAAATGAAAATTTCTTCTATGGGATACAAAAAGAGATATTTTTTAAAAATGTCTTAGTGTTTTTTTGTCCAGTCAGTGGGGTCCATTGTTGTTTTGAATCCCATTGACTTAAACAGTTCTTCAGAATATCTTTTTTGTGTGTTCCACAGAATAAAGAAAGTTATACATGTTTGGAAAGACATGAAGGAACAGAACTACTGTGGGTGGCCCGTTAAAATTCCCTTTTATACAAAATAAAAAAATATATATATATATTTGTCAGATTGTGTAAATGCAACATGCTATACAGAGTATGTACAATTTACTTACGCAAAATAAGCAAAGTGAATTCATTTCTGACCCTTCCCCTTCCAGAAACCCTCTTCCCTCTACAGTACATTTCTTACCAGTGTTGCCAATGAGTGCAAGCCATATTGTGTGGGAGGGACACACATACACACACCAACTCCGCTACACACTCTGGTGTTGATTATAATAGTGTATCGGGGTTTGCTCTAACACCTCTGCCTACGGAGCTCTCCCTCGAGTCTGCAAAAACCTTTCAAACAGAACTCTTAATTAGATGGAACAGAGGTCATCTAGAACCAGAACACAAGCACACACAAATACACTCCCACACAAACACTTCCTTCCTTCCTTCTTTTACTCTAATAAATAACATGGACATTAGCACTTATTTGAAGCTGAACTTTCTGTCTGACTGGAAAAAAAATTAATTGCACATTAAAACATGTTCACATTTCACAGCTTGTTGTGAGTGAGATCCAGGCAGTCAAGCTGTACATATTCATGCCTTCACCAGCTCGAACTATAACTCACCAGACAGAATATATATCTTTCCGAGCCCAATTTTTTTGTCACCCTCTTATTTAACAACTTTTGACCCCAATTAATTCCAAAGTATGACATTTTGGTGTCTACATACTTAAAGCCTTATTGTGTATTTCTTCATTTAAGTATCCTTATATCTCCCCCTGTGGATATCATTGTCAGTTTTGAAACTTAATACTGTGTCCACTCTTTGCCAGAGGGAGACATATGTAATGTGAAAAGATAAAAGCTGAGAAAACACACCATGTTTGTGAAATCACTTTAGGTGAAGTGTGTAATTTGTGCACCACACCAAACAGAAATGCAAAATAATTGCTGCTTTTCTCATTGCTCGGACAAACAGGTAGTTCCGCCCCCAAACTCACACAATTGGCTGAGCAAACGTTGTTATTGTCCTAGTCGGGCCACTGAAACAGATTGTGATTCCGGTAGTACCACAGAAATTACACACTTCACCTTTAAGCCAGCAGGTTCATGATAACAATGAACAAAGCCGTACTTGTGCCGCTCCTGGGTGGGTCTTACCCTACATTTCACAAAGGTGTTAATGCACCACAGATCTGTCAAATATCTCCTCATCCCTTTTCCGAGAGACTTTCAACTTTAAAACTGGTATTTTCATGAGAAATTACTGGGTAATTACCTCTCTTATCCTTTCATGCTTCTCATAACTTGCATCTGTACTGAATCCGTGACAATCAGTTGGTGGTTTGCAGAAGGCAGGCAGGGAAGAATAACACTGGGGTTCAGGGTTTAGCCCGTCACTGCTGCTGTCATGATTCAGAATTGGAGTCTTTTGCGCTAAAGGTGCTTAAGGGGCAATAGGCGAGACCACACTGCAACAGAACGCCGCTTTGATCAGCGAGGGACCACAGGAGCAGGCACTGAGACAGTCGGCCCTGTCAGGACCCTCGCATGCGCCATTGTTTTCGACGCAGCCTGAGGGACCCGCCCAGGGCCCAAAGAGTTCGGGACATGATGTGAAAATTAGTTTTCAACATTGATAATATAAAGAAATGTTTCTTGAACAGCAAATCTACATAGAATGATTTCTGAAGGATCATGTGACACTGAAGATGAGTAATGATGCTGAAAATTCAGCTTTGGGCTATCACAGGAATAAATTACATTTTAAAATATATTAAAAATAGATAACCAATTTGAAAATATAATCAATATTACTGTTTTAATGTTCTTGAACAAATTATATTGTGTTTTTGAACAAAATGCATGCTTTAGAGTTCGGGACATGATGTCAGCGGCCCCAACTAGACCCCCAGGGACCTGCAAACACCTGCCTTCCGCCGCAGCTGGGGAATTCTGCAGCTAAATATAGCGAGAGAATTAAGGCAAACAAACCAAAACAAAGACATATAGTGCCGGTGGCGAACTCCATTAAGCGGGACTTCAGAAGAGAATTAGCCGAGAAATGCAAGGGCCTGTCTGTACGCTCAGCACCTGAACAACACCTGTGGCCTGAGCCTGAGAGCATGCAGAAGAAGTTGCAGTCCAGGTTGTTGTAGATCCTGATTTAAAAATCTGCTTTAGAAAGGGGAGGGTGACAACACAGGCAATATTTAGTCAATATCACATATGTTAAAGATTGCTGTACAGGATGTAAGCCAGAATTTGAATATAGCAGGTAATCGGAGCGATGATATTTACAATGATATTCAGCACGACTGCAATTGTGATACTGTTTTATGCTATAATATAATTATAGACTAACCAAGACTTGTCATGGCACTTACATATTATTGCTCTTTGGTTGGTTTTGATTGCTTCTATTTTCCTCATTTGTAAGTCGCTTTGGATAAAAGCTTCTGCTAAATGACTAATGTACATGTAAATAAATTTTTTAACAAGCAACGCTTCAGACAAAATTTGGTTACAGATAAACCCTTTGCGATCCTGAAGAAAGAAAACACAACAACCTCCAAAATGCAAACTTTCAACTCCGCTCCGCTAACATACTCTGATCTGAAACACCACAAATCTGTAAAATTTCCCAGTTACTTTTAAGCGAAATGGCAGTTAACAAAATGTAAAGGAATGAATTGAGTCTATTTAATAATTCAAATAATAAAAAAAATTATAATTAATTAAAATGTTTTTATTTACATTTTACAATACTAAAAATATATAATAAATATAATATAATATAATTAAGAAATCATATTTAAAATATAAGCCTGAAGAAAAAAGCTGAAAATCAATAATACATTTCCTGATTTAATAATTGACACATTCTGTCATACTGTCCAATGACAGACCATCTTATTTCTTATTTGAGTCATATGTGGAAGAGGGGGTGTGTCTTAAAATTGAGTCAAAGTTTCATTGGTTGCTGCAACAAGTGAACTGTTTTAAACTTGATTGTTGGTTGTTGGTAAAGTATCTAGCAGAAAAAAAGGAAGAACGCAACTGGCAAATATTTTGTCAAAATGCTATTTAAAAATGATTTATTCTCTTTTTTGTTTTATTTAACTGCAATTTAAAATGTGAATTCAAAAATGCAATTGAACTCACATTTTCAAATGCAATTGCATGTATTTATTCATTTAATAGTTAACTTTAAAAATATTTGGTTACGGTTTATTTTAATGTGTCCTTGTTACAGTGTAATTATACATGTATTAATTAGCTACATGTAGTTACTACATGGTTAGGGTTAGGATGAGGGTTTGGATTAGAGTTGCTTGCATGTAATTATGCATAATTTATTGTTATTATAATAGTAAGTACATGTAACAAGGACACCTTAAAATAAAGTGTTACCAAATATTTTATAAAAGTTAAAAATAAAGTGATTTATTTACATCATTTGATTTATTAAATGGCTAATGTATTTCCACATGTTATTTCTCAATCATTTTAAATGGTCCTTGATAGATAACAGCAAACTAATACCAATTCCCAATGTTTTGTCTTTTCCAGACCATCCTGGAAAACATGCACCTGCGCTGTAAGTGCCATGGACTGTCAGGCAGCTGTGAAGTAAAGACCTGCTGGTGGGCTCAGCCTGACTTCAGGCTGTTGGGGGATTACCTGAAAGACAAGTACGACAGTGCCTCCGAGATGGTGGTGGAGAAACACCGGGAGTCCAGAGGCTGGGTGGAAACACTACGGGCCAAATACGCCTTCTTCAAGCACCCCACAGAACGAGACCTGGTGTACTACGAGGGATCGCCCAACTTCTGTGAGCCGAACCCGGAGACAGGCTCATTTGGCACCCGGGACCGCGTCTGCAACGTGTCGTCGCACGGCATCGAGGGCTGCGACTTGTTATGCTGTGGCCGCGGCCATAACACACGGACAGAAAAGCGCAAGGAGAAATGCCACTGCATCTTCCACTGGTGCTGCTACGTCAGCTGCCAGGAGTGTGTGAGGGTCTACGATGTGCACACGTGTAAATAAGTGCAGGAAGAAAGGGACTAGTGGACATTAAAGGATGGAAAGAGAGAGAAGGAGAGGGAGAGACTGAGAACACACACAAGATAGCGGCATGTTTGTGGTAGAACCCTTTACTAATGTGCCCTTTTTGATCTACACGCCCCAAAAGATGCCCATGGTGAGCATCACGGTTACTACTGCCATTCCTCTCACTCTTTTTTGTGGCAGGCATTACGTCTGCAAAAGAACAAAATGCCTTGTTATCATTCAGTCTTCTTTATCTGTAACACCATCTCTCTGATCATCTCGCCCTGCTGCCCAAGGGCCGAAACAGGATATGTTCAAATACAACCAATGACACTAGGCGCGCATTAAAGAACAAGAGGAGGGGGAAAAGCACGACAGGAAACTCTTGGTGAACTACTGAACGCTGGGTCTCGAAATATGCCCTGCTATACTACTGAATCCAATGTAATGCCCGTGTTTTTCCCTCATGATTTCCCAATCATATTGTACACTCCTATCACAATCATATCATGGAACATATTGCTGTTCGCTACATAAAAACTCTGTAATTTGTTTATACAGCAGTTTGGAGGGATGCAATTGATATATTAGCGTAGGGGCGGTGCAAACAGGAAAATGCATTATGGGTACCTTCTGATTTTTGCAGAACATGTACATGCAAAGTCATCGGTGATTCTCCTGGATGAGTGCAGGACAGCTGGTGAAATGCATGACAGCAGAATTCAACGACACACACTGGGCTCACGTGCATCCGACCAGTAAAATTTGCACTTACAAAACTACTAATGAGTATACTAATTCTAGAGATTACGGTGATTATTTTTTAACATATTCTTTTTGATAAAGCTCCTCGTATATGACTGTGAAGGCTCCGTTTCAACACTTCCCTGTCGAGAAGTTTGCGTAGAGGAAGGAGAACAAGCACGCAGGAGGAGGATAGTTAAGGAAAGAAATAGGAGGGTAAATTAAAGAGGGAAGTAGCAACCCAATTTCATGAAAAAACACAACTAGATGGCGCTTTCGTATGAAGGTCATACAAATTTATACGAAGAAGCCACCAATTTGCGAATTGTCATGAGAGTTTGTTGCATGTGGAGGACTGCTGTGGGTTCGAGTGTGTGATAAATGGAAGAAAGACCAGCTTTACAAAGCTGCAACAGACTAGCGGAGGTTTCCATAGGACATGTTCTGACAGTCCCATACGCTTCCCATTAATTATGTTTAACTACGCAACGCTAGTTTCACATTCACACCGATCCCTGAGGAGCCCTCTCACCAGTCACATCTACGCTCCCTTTCCCATTTCTCCTTCCGCTATATCCAAAGTTTTGTACAAAGCCTTTAAAAGTTCATAATTCCCTTTTTATTTTATAATCTGAAAATGTTATGTTTTTATAAATATTATTTATTACACAATGTATATATCTGTATGACTGAACTAAGATTATATATTTGAAGAACAAAACAGTCTCATGATTTTGCTTTTAAATATAAGACTGACTCTTGCTCTGCTGGTATATGCTATGTGTAGCCTCATTTATAGCAATATATAATGCAGATAACGACACTTTTAACAACAGATTATTCAAATAAAGCATACACTGTAAAAAAAAAAAAAAAATCTGTGACATTTACGGTAAAATACGGCAAAAATATGGTAGAAACATTTTAGGTTTTACAGGCTTAACTTAAATTCACAATAAAAAAACGTATTTCATTAACTGATGTAATGTTAATATACCTGCATATTGAAGTACTAATATCTGTTTTGAACAACTGTAATGCTGATAACCACCAAAAACAGGAGGTGATGAGAAAGTCACGATGAATCAAAACTCATCACAAACAGCTCTTCCACAAGCTGAGAAGGGAAATACTAATATATATATATATATATATAGAAAGGTGCACAGTGTCATTCACACAAACACTAAACACCATCGTAATGTTAATAAACCGGCATATTGAAATACTAATATCTGTTTTGAACAACTGTAATGCTGATAACCACCAAAAACAGGAGGTGATGAGAAAGTCACGATGAATCAAAACTCATCACAAACAGCTCTTCCACAAGCTGAGAAGGGAAATACTAATATATATATATATAAAGCTGGAATTTTAACAGTATTTTACTGTAAAATTACATTAAATGTAATTACAGTTATTCACCGTATATAGTATGGAAACTTACTGATAACCAATTAACAGGTTTTTACTGTAGCATTTTTAGTCTTTTACTGTTAAAATGACAATCATTTTTTACAGTGTAGCATAAAAATAAAAATAGCTAAATAAAGGGTTCAATTTACCTGATCACAATCATCTGATCCTCATGTCTGCATCTACTCTGTCATTCCAGCGTTGACATCATTCTGTAGGTTTGGAAACGGACCTCCGTTGTCTGCACTACAGTAGCGCCACTTAATGACAGAGTAAAGCATGACACAATGAACACTACAAATATTGACTGAAATAAAGCTGACTTCTTTTCATGTAGATATTACTCAATCGGCTCCTGTACACACAGGTCAGTTTGAGAGTCGCACCTGTTATTACTCTGACAATGTGAAGGTAGCCTATGTGATAAGACCCGATTCCAGAATCAAATCACTGAGGATGCTCTAGCCTTAACTGCACATCAATAGGCCTACAAGACAAATTTTCCCCCGTCCACTGTTATTGTTATCATTATGTCAGTCATTGCAATTTGTAGAGTGAATCCCACATTTATGCGGATGACACTCCCGAAAATAAACAGCATGTGTGTGGCTGTTGGTCATCTTATTAGCATGAAAAACTACATTTTATTCAAATTCTGAATGAATTATATACTGCTAGCCAAAAAAGCAAACAAAGAGCATTCACTTTATAATCACTAGAAAGCTCATTTCAGTTTATTCACAATGTCACAAAGTTACGCTACAACTAATTAATCTCTCTACTACCTCGCACAATGAATATTATTTACATCATGTCTACACCTTGGTGTCTACACGAGCGGATTCTGACTAACTTATTGTAAACACTTCTGATTGGCCATTGCATTAAAGAAATCAACAGTTATGACTGTGATTGGCTACGTTGCTCAACGCTGCGTTGGAAATAGAAACGGTTAAAGCTTTCCTGACCGCAAACACAAAGACGCATTGGAGCGTTTGCAAAATCTGCTTAGCACCCCCGTAGAACCGGGCCTGCAAATTCAATGACTCTTTTTATCCACAGAACTCAAGTTTTTAATAAGTGTGTTGTAGTTCGGTTATTTTGGTCTGGATCAAAAACGTAAATTACACATATTGTTCACACTGCCATTTTTAACGGATTTTGCACGGAGATCGGCAGACGGTGGTTGGGACGCCTGTACCGAATTGTACTCAACAAAAAAAAAATACGTTGCCTCATAATAATAATAATAACAACTTATTTTTAAAAAACAAAGTAATATTTTCAGCCAACTTGAGTTGTAGCTCTGGAATCAATTAATATTATATCTTTATGTTATTATTAAATCCACAGCTATACTACACGATAAACTTATTTAGCATGTATACTTAAAGGGATAGTTCACCCAAAAATGAAAATGTACTCATACACATCCTCAGTGGTGGACAGTAACGAAGTAATTTAATTTCGTTACTGTACTTAAGTACATTTTTCAAGTATCTGTACTTTACTAAACTGAGTACTTTTACTGGAGTAATATTTTATAATACGGACCTGTACTTTTACTCAAGTATTTGATTTGTGTACTTCGTCCACCACTTAGCTTCCGCTAACTGTCATACGCTCGTTCACGAGAGAGTGGCGTCCAGCGGATGACGTAAGCGTAGAATAAACTCCGGTGAGAATATGCCTGTTTTGTCATAAACAAGTTTTGTTTACAGCAAAGGAAAACCAGTGTCCTCTTGGCTTATATCAAAATCCTCCAACATTTTTCTTTACAAATCCTCATTTTGTACTAATTCGTGACCGGTGTTTTGTTTTGCTCTCCTCTGTGTTTCCACGTTCATCACTTCTGCGTTCGTCACTGCATTTGCCTACGTGCTACGTCATCCGCTGGACACCACTTTCTCATGAACGAGCGTAGGACAGTTAGCAGAAGCTAGAGATTTAGGTTTATAAAGTTGTAAAAAGTTAATTTCAACATTTACTCCCCTTATCCAGTTCTATGCAAAGCATGCTGGGAACGAAAAATCCACTACCCAATTCCAAAAGGTTAACAAGAAAATGTCATTATTTTATTACAGCTTTTTTTTCCTTTTTTTTTTAAGAAATTCAATTAACACAGAAATTTGAGTTTAAATTACACACAATATTTAGTGAATGTAATGAACATCATGTCAGGTGAACTGAACAAAATAAAGTTTGCAACTTAAAAGGTTTAATTAAATCAAATTCCAATTTTGTAAATTGTAACCATGCATTTATTTAAGTTGTGGTAATGGGCAACACAGCTCTTATGACAAGAAGAACCAGCAAGTATGCTTGAGCATTCTGTCTTTTTTGAGCATTCTGTCTTTGGTCCATACTGGGTTCATATATCAGTCAAACTGTACCAAAGCTTGCTTGGGAGTGGACCAAGATCCACCGTTTCATGGGTTCTTGAGCCGCTTTTGTGTGCGCACCAATGTTCAGATGGCAAAGCTCACGCTTATTCAACTATAGCGCACTAACAGAGCAATTGCACCAGAGTAGACAGTTCATTTTAAACCAGACCTGCTAAGTATGAACACAACCTTAGTTTCAATTTAAAAAAAAGCTAATTCTTACAAATCAACAATAACGGCAGTCATTTATTGCCATCTTAAAACCGCATTTTAATCAGGAAATCATTGAAGACATTATTTATATTTATATGTAATAGGAAATTGCAGTAATTAATTCCTCTACAGGTTATGCCATGAAAATATAATTTATAGTCCAAATGTTTGACAATAAAGGCAGCTACTACAAGTACTAGTGTGTGACATGCATATTTAAGTTGTGGTAATGGGCAACACAGCTCTTATGACAAGAACCAGCAAGTATGCTTGAGCATTCTGTCTTTGGTCCATACTGGGTTCATATATCAGTCAAACTGTACCAAAGTTTGTTTGGGAGTGGACCAAGATCCACCGTTTCATGGGTTCTTGAGCCGCTTTTGTGTGCGCACCAATGTTCAGATGGCAAAGCTCACGCTTATTCAACTATAGCGCACTAACAGAGCAATTGCACCAGAGTAGACAGTTCATTTTAAACCAGACCTGCTAAGTATGAACACAACCTTAGTTTCAATTAAAAAAAAAGCTAATTCTTACAAATCAACAATAACGGCAGTCATTTATTGCCATCTTAAAACCGCATTTTAATCAGGAAATCATTGAAGACATTATTTATATTTATATGTAATAGGAAATTGCAGTAATTAATTCCTCTACAGGTTATGCCATGAAAATATAATTTATAGTCCAAATGTTTGACAATAAAGGCAGCTACTACAAGTACTAGTGTGTGACATGCAGTCCAAAAGTTGCAAAGATCCAAAATGTATACAAACCTCAAATTCTATATTTAAATGTGGTTCAATCACTATGACTTTCACAGTTCAACAGTAGAAGTCATAAAGGGGTTATAATGTTTTGAGAGAGAAGGTATGCATGTAAGAGACATAAAGAGAAAGAAGAGGAGAATTCAAGGCCAATGTGAACTATCCTGGCACTTTTGGCAGACTGGCAGAAGGGAAGTAGGTCGCAGGTTTCCGTCCTGTACACAATGCTTAAGGCCACTATGTTACCCATTAGACTGGGGTGAGGGGCTGAGACCAAGACCTTTCCTATGTTCCTGACATGGAATGTCCCAAGCAATATAAGAAGGACGGATAGTTCCCTTTAAAAAAATATATATATACATATATATATATATATTTTATTTTTTTTTCCTAGTCAATAAAAGCAATAAACAAACTGCAACAATATACTGGCATGCTAAGGCACAGAAGTGAGCATTTCAATATTGTTATTGGCAGGCACTAACCGTTAAGATAATAAGTCCATCCATGACAAAGAGAAAAGCGAGCAGAGGATTTGGTCAGAGAATTTTACCATTGTTAAATTCACACAGCCCAGTAAGGACACATTTAGGAGTAAGGCATTATTGACAGGAATGGTTCATGTCAGTAAATACATATAAATATGATACATTATATATATAAACACCTTTATATACATGCAGGTACTATTTAAAAATTCCTGATGTCATAAGACAACTGAGGCACTGTACAAATATGACCCTTTGCACTTGTAGTGAGGAATCAAGGAGCTGGTGTGTCTGCATTTGCCATGGAAACATGCCGTACATATACTTAAGGAAAGTGAGGGATAGAGAGATATGCTGTAGGTATGTCTGCTCTCTCTCTCAGTCTCTCAAGTGCACTCAGTGTTTTCCTGACTCCTTTAACAGCTTCTGAAATACATGGCAGAAAACACAAACAGGAAACCTTATGAAAAAGTGCACATGTATAATGTGAATGGATGAAAGCTAAAACAAAGATGACAAAAATGAAATCAAAAATCTTATTTTCATAATAAACATCCCTGGTGTCATTTTGAATGATTTAACAATGTATATTATTTAAAGCAAAAAATATGAATAAATAAAACATGCACTATCATTCAGAAGTTTGGGACTGGTAAGATTTTTTTTTACTGCATGTGAAAGAAGTCTCTTAAGCTCATCAAGGTTGCATTTTTGTTGATCAAAAATACAGTAAAACAGTCATCTTGTGAAATATTATTTCAATTTAAAATAACTGTTTTCTATTTGAATATATTTTAAAATGTAATTTATTCTTGTGATGGCAAAGCTGAATTGTCAGCAGCCATTACTCCAGTCTTCAGTGTCACATGATCCTTCAGAAATCATTTTAATATGCAGCTTTCTAGCTCAAGTAGCATTTCTTATTGTTATTAATGTTTAAAATAATTACTTAATTTTTTCGTAATACTTTTTTTTAGCATTCTTTGAATAATAGAAAGTTTAAAAGAATAGCGTGTACAATGTACAAGTTTTGTAACATTATAAATGTTTTACTGTCACTTTTGATCAATCTAATGCATCCTTGCTGAATAAATTTTTTTTTTTTTTAAATCCCAAAATTCTGAATGGCAGTTAAAAATAAAATTGCCCTCCGACCTCTGAAATATTTTGTCCAATATACAACTATTTGAAAATCTGGAATCTGAGGGTGCAAAAAAAAAAAAAAATCAAAATATTGAGAAAATTGCCTTTAAAGTTGTCCAAATGAAGTCCTTAGCAATGCATATGATTTTTGGCATAAAAGAAAAAATGATAATTTTGACCCATACAATGTATTGTTAGCTATCGCTACAAATATACCAGTGCTACTTATGACTGGTTTTGTGGTCCAGGGTCACAAATGTGTAAAAAGTAAGGCTTGGTAACTACTTGTCAGTCCTACCAAAATAGCCTTGGCTTGTCAGGCTACTCCCCTGCACCCAAGACTATATGGCCACATGTTTGTCAGAGCCCAACCTGGAGAACAACATAAACAACATATTAATGATAACAATCAATATGATAAAGGAGGAAAAATCCATTTGAAGCCAACCAAAAAATGGCCTTACGCTCCTTCTCTCAGTAGTGCCAAGAACTTGTTAACTCTGTATTCCAAAGGCATCTGAAAAATAATATAGAAAAATACCCACAAGAGAGGTGAAAAATGAAGAATAAATGTGAAATCAGAAAAGAAAAAAAAAATCTTTGTTAGTTACACTGCTGTAAATTCCTTGCAAGCTCCCTTTTCTGGAAAGTTCTGAGATGTTGAAAAGACAAAAACCTTGTCAGCTATGTAAAGCCTGGAGGGTTCGGAGGGGCCCTGAGTTTGCCTGTGAGGAGTTGGGCGGCAGTAAATGGCAGTCGGGAAGGGGAAGTGACAAGACTAGTGATAAATCCAGCAGGCTGGCGTACCTGTGTCACCCAAGACAGGAAGAGTGATAGACAACCCAGTCCTCATCCCCTTGCATACTATTGTTATTTGGTGATGTTCTGAGTGAAATTTACATGAAGTAAAAATAAATCACCCCAGATTATTTTTATTGTACGATTCATTTCCTTATGCTTTAATGAATTGTCTAAGGAAAGATTAATTAAGGAGCTGCACAGGTTTAATCTTAGTCATGAACTAAATTGTGCCGTTAACTTTCCTTTATAGACTAGAATGTGATTTAAGGACAGGGTAGAGCTCTGAGGAGGGAGATGGCACCAAGGAGGAAAATTAATGAAGGTGTATGCAATAACTTAGCTTTTCAATTGCCTGGGGCTGTTGGAGAAGTGGAAATTACTGAAAGAATAGAGGGAATGGAAGGAAAACGCAGTGCGGCTGTGTGCAGCATGTCCCGGCAGACTCTTGTCTCATTCCTCTCTGAGGGGAAGCACCAGCGCTGCCACATTACTGCATACCACACCAATTACACAGCATCCAGCACAAACACCACTGCAACTCCAATTACGCCACCACAAAAACTAACAAACATGACTATAATTCTCATTAAACAAGACTAGCAATAATCTAGAACTATAATGGCTTAAAAAAAAACGGAATCTTTTCTAAATTACAGGTTTTCAAAAGACTCAACATTGGCTTAATAAAGCACAACAGTGACTGGCCAGTTTTTCAGTGGCCTTGGTTCCAGAAGTATTTTTCCTATTATTTTCTCCACAGGGATTTCAAAAATGTCTTCAATAAAGAGTTCTAACCAACCTTGTCTGAGGTGGATCACATAATCACAAACACTGAAGTAAAAAAAAAAAAAGTATTTTATATAAACTAAAATTATAAAGCTGTTTTCTATTTTAATATATTTATAAATGTATGTTATTCCTGTGATGGCAAAGCTGAATTTTCAGCTGTCACATGATCATTCAGAAATCATTCTAATATGCTGATTTGGTGCTCAAGAAACATTTCTTATCATTATCAATGTTGAAAACTGTGAAGATTTTTTGATGAATGGAAAGTTCAAAAGAACAGTATTTATTTGAAATAGAAATTTTTTTCTTTAGATTTTTGAATAAAAGCAATATTTTGTACAAAAAAAAAAATCTATTTATATTTTTTTATATTTAATAATATATCATTTTAACAGTATTAAGGCATTAAGCAGCTAACATTATTGCAGGATTTTTGAGAACAGTCTGTTTTGGCAGGGAAAGTGAAAGGCTTCAATCAACTCCAGAAGCGGGCCATACACACCAAATTACATGCAGATGAGGAATATGGAGTTCTGTTTATTTGTGCGTGTCGAGAGAGAAGGCGCATCTGGAGGGGCTTGTTTTCATTACGATGCCGTAAAGCAATTGAATTTGACATTGACTCAAGCCGCAGATGATTTCGCAGGAAAAGCTGTGACTCAGAGAGTCGTCTAGACAAGCCGCAGGGTGAAAAGGTCTTTCGGCATCTCACCTGCAGTGACATCTCAATGAGCATCTGCAGCTTCTTAATGCCGAGCCACACCGTTTGTCCTTTCACCTGTTTTGCGATAGTTGCTCGCTCTTCTTCCTGGAAGCCCCCGAGAAGCTGAACCACACAGAAGAAAACAAACAGTCAGTTGTAGCCTAACAGTCAAAAACTATGGTCCTTTAGTTCACCCAAAAATGAAAATTCTATTATCATTTCCTCACCTTCATGCCATTCCAAACCCATATGAACTCATTTCTTCTGTGGAACATAAAATATTCTTGAAAAATGTTTCAAATATTTTTGCACATACAATAAAATCAATGGGGTCCAAAACAATACTGAACCCCCATTGACTTTCACTTTGTGGAAAAGTGCAAAGAAAGCAAGTCATGCAGGTGGGAGATTAAGGATGACAGAACTGACATTTTTGGGTGAACTATCCCTGAGATTTGCATACAACATAGATCCATAGCTCCATTTTTTCTTCAAGAAACTTGTTTTTCTGCCCCTCAAACCTATCATAGTGGCCCCAAAACATCTGTGGACACCTAAGTCATACTTTAAAATGCATGAAAGTTTTACATTATATAGTAAAATATTGAAGTTTCGGGCACACTTTATTTTAAGGTCCAATTCTCACTATTAATTAACTATTAACTATGAATTTTGCCTCAATAAACTCCTAATTTGCTGCTTATTAATAATAAGGTAGTTGTTAAGTTGAGGTATTGGGTAGGATTAGGGATGTAGAATATGGTCATGGAGAATATGTGCTTTATAAGCATTAATAAACCGCCAATATGCAAGTAATACGCATGCTTATAAGCAACTAGTTAATAGAGAGAATTGGTCCCTATACTAAAGTGTTACCAAAGTTTCTTAGTTTCATATGATAATACTATAGATTTACGGTTCGTTATCTGCAAAGAAATTATTTTCTCATGAAAGTGATAGTGTGGTTTAACTCTGTAAAGCCTGACAACAGCCTGAAATAACAGTAAGAAAAATCTATCAACTCACCCAAGACCCGACTCCCTGCTGAGTGCTGCTCTATACAGTCCTGATCTGGAGGAACAGACCCTCAGCTATTCAAAACACCTTACAAACACAGCACAACACCTATTCCTGCCCAACATACACACTCACTGCCACCAGGCAAGAAGACACAACAGTAGCTTGTTGGGGGACCTGTACGCTATGAAAAACTTTCAAAGTTTTCAAATGGAGACAAAATATAAATGTAGATTTTGGTTACTGGTTAAAGTCAAAAGAATGTTTAAATCGCATTTGATGAATCAAAAGTTTTAATTTGAAATAGATTTTTTAATATTATAAATGTCTTCAACGTCACTTGATCAGTTTAACGCCTTCTTGCTGAATAAAAATATTACTATTTTTATTATATATAGGGTTATTATATATATATATATATATATATATATAAAATGTCTTACTAACCCAAATGTTTGAACAATAGATATGTAAAAACTAGACAATTTAATATACACTATCATTTTTTGACTGCTGTTTTTTGTTTTAGTTACTGCTTACTTACTAAAGTGCGGAGTCAAACAAATAA